GGTGCTCCTCCCCTCTGCTCTGCACTGGAGAGGTTTTGGGATTCTGTAACAAATAACTCTGAGCTTGTTTAGTGTCACCCAGACCTCGAATTTTGGTGTGATGCTTTGCCTGTCCTCCTTTCCTGGTGACTCAGGCTGGGGCTGAGCTGTAGAGGTTCTACCACCATCTAACTTCACCGCATGAACCTTTCTCAACGTGCTTTAATTGTATTTTTAGATGTTGAGTTGTACGGTGCAATTAGTCACCCCCCTCCCAGCCAGATGGTCCACGGTGACACAGGAGTTTCTTTTTTTAATCCCACACTTTCCATTGGTGTGAGCATGCTTCTGCTTCCCAAATAACCTTAAGTATAGGGTGTTTGTTTTAGCTGCAGAGTGGGCGGTGTTATTGTTTTCCCCAGGTCCGCTCACCGGGTCTGTGGTGTTGTCATTTCTGGAAAGGAATGGCAGATTGGTGGCAGTTTCCAGTAAGGAGAAATTGGAAAAATCAAGGCTGGATTGGAAAATCAAGCAGAATTACGCCTGTTTTATTTCTTGCTGCTGGGTGCATGCCTTGGGTTGGGGATCAGCGCGTCCTCCTGTGGCTCTTGGTTTCAAAGCAGGGCTGGGAGAAGGTGATGTCACCATTTCCCAATGGAAACCAAACTTTGAAACTGCAGCTGGAAAACAGATCAGGGTGGGAAACATTCAGTTGCTGGGTTTTCTAATGAAGAATACTGGGCTGTGGGGAGGGAAAAGGGGATACGGGCATCCTGGCCATGTAAAATCATCCACACGCTCCAGTATCAGAAACATTACGACCACATCTTTACAGGACCCAAAAGCAATCAGGATCCCACCAGACACAGGAGAGGGAATGCAATACCTCTAATGGGGAATGTGGTGAAATATTTACATTTCCTCCATCGATAGCAATATTTCTTGAAGGAAGGAAGCTGCACTTGTGCCCAATCCCCCCCCCCCCCAGCTGCTCCCCATCCCCAGGGGAAGGGGTTCACCACCCCACAACCCACAGCAGGAACACACCTGCGCTTCCAGAGAGGGTAGGAAACTTCTAATGGCTCTGTTAATTAATAACTGACCCTCTGTTTACGTCTCCCATTAATGGAAGAGAAATGTTTTCCTTATCCCGGACGTGAGCTCAAGGAGTCTGAAGCTGGGACATGAAGCAAAGGGCATTTCCAATCAATTAATAACATCAGAGCATTATCACCGGCAGAGTATTATGTGTGAGGGCTGAGAGCCATGTCTTGGGCAGGGGATTTGGGAAGGGGCTTTTGACTTTAGGATTTGCCACTGAAAATAAAGCAGGGAGCAGCAGAAGGAGGTAACAATGCGGTCCCTGCAGCAGGGTGAGCCTTGGGTGTGATTTGAGGATCTTTTAGGACTTGGATTCCCTTGAAAACACTGCATTTGGGGGTCGTGGAGGATATGAAGTTCCCAAACCATTTGGGGAAAAGCAGTTTTTAAGGTTTTTGCCAACACTTCTGCAAAATGCCCATCAGAGGGGGAAATGTCTGCCAGCCCCCTGTGCTTCTGACCACTTTCTGCTGGAGAAATGGGGCCTCTAGGGGGGACTGGTCCTGTCTCTGGGGGATGGAGGGGGTACTGGGGGGTGGTAAGTTGAGGGGAGAATGCTGAAGGAGGCCAGGAAGGAGCAGGGAGCTGGGCATGAGGATGGAGGGCCAATAGATGGTGAGGATGGAAAGAAGTCAGGGGGATGCTTGGAGGGGGTCTGGGGGTGATTTTGAGGGGAGCTTGGGGGATGCTGGAGGGGGAGCAGGGTGATACTGGAAAGGGAATTATGCTGGAGGGGATTCAGGGGGTGATGCTGTGGGGATGATGCTGGAGGTGGGGTGATGCTGGAGATGGGGGTGATGTTGGAGGGGAATTGGAGGTGATGTTAGAAAGGGGGTGATGCTGAGGTGGAATTGAGGTGATGCTGGAGGTGGAGGTGATGCTGGAGGTGGGGGTGATGCTACAGAGGGGGTGATGTTGGGGGGGAATTGTGGGGTGATGCTGGAGAGGAGGTGGTGCTGAGGAGGAATTGAGGGTGATGCTGCACAGGGGTGAATTGGGGGGGTGAATTGGGGGATGATGCTGAAGAGGAGGTTGATGCTGAGGGTGGTGATGCTGTAGGGCTGAAGGTGGAGGGAGCAGGGGTGGGTGCTGTCTGAGTGCTGTGGGGCTGCTGCTAAAGGGGTGGGGGGCAGGAAGGGAATTGTTGGGGGCAGTATAGAGACGTGGGGGTGATGATGATGGGGGTCTCGGGGGGGGCGATGCCAGGGAGCATAGGGGCCGTGCCGAAGGGGATCTATGCGGGGGGCCCGCGGGGTAAGAAGGGAGGCTGTCAGCGGACCCGGCCGCGCTGCTCTGCCCCCCAGTGTCCCCCCAGTACCCCCCCCTAACGGGCTCTGCCTCCTTCCCCCGCCCCCTCCCGGCCCTGGGCGGGGTCTGTCCCCGCTCCGGAGATGGTGGAGCCGATGTGAGCGGATCGGGGTGCAGAGCGGCTGCGGCCCCCCCTGGCCCCGAGCCCCGGGGGGAGCCCGGCCCCCCCCACAGCCCAGCTATGCCCGCGGGCAGCACCGAGCCCGATGGCATCCTCAGCTATCAGGTGGGGGGTGCATGGAGGGGGGGTACCCGGTGCGGCCGGAGGATGCTCTGTGGCTGCTCACTGCGGCATTTCCAGCGGCGGGAGGGGAGGGGTTGGGGGGAGGATACGGGATGGGGGGCATGCAGGGCGTCTGCTAGGTTGGGGGCAAAGTATCTGCAAAGAGGGGGGGGTGTGATTGGTCTGCAGTGGGGATGCAACGTGTTTGCAAGGGATGGGGAGGGAATCTGTAAAATGAGGCATAAGGAACGAGTGGAGGAGGGGGAGGGGGGGGGCAGGCTCTGAAATGGGGGTGCAGAAAGGAGGCAGATGTAAGGCCGAGGGGTGGAGGTTGGGGGGTGCGGGGGGATGCACAAGGTAGACGCAAAGAGAGGTGAAAGGCATCTGCCTGGGAGGGGCACAGAGGGCGTATGGGGGGGTGTCCATGGCTGGTGGCACCTCCCTGGGCCCCCCCTCCGTCCCCTCCACACCTTTGTGTGGCCACAGCCCGTCGGAGCGGGGACAAAAGCCCCACAGCACGCAGTCCCGGGAGGGGTCTGGTGCAGCAGGGAGCAGCAGGGAGGTCCCCCCCATTTTAGCGTCATCTTATCTGGGCTGTCCCCAGGGAGCACCTCCTGGCCCCACTGCACCCATCTGCTGAGCATCCATGGGACCCAGCACCTCATGGGACCTGGCACCTCCCATGGGACTCCATGCAACCCATCAAACCCCATTGACCCCGTAGAATCCCGACCCTGCACCCCAGGGAAGCCTGCGCCCCTCATTGGACAGCATACCTCCATTGCATCCTGCACCCTCTGTGGGATCCTTCACCCCATGGGACCCCCTGCATCCCTCAAGGACCCTATGCATCCCTCACTGGACACCATGCACCCCCCATGGGACCCTTTACACCCTCCATGGGACTTCATGAACCCCCAGTGAGACCCCATATGACCATTGGACCCTGCTCCTTCTATAGGATCCTGCACCTCATCTGACCCTCTGTGCCCTCCATGGGACCACATACATCCATTGGTCCCCATATCCCTCATGGGACTCCATGAATCCCATGGGATCCTGCACCCTGTGACACCCTGCACCCCGCATGGGACACATGCACCCATGGGATCCTGCACCCTCTATGGGAACCCATGCACCCAAGGGACCACACAGCAGCCCGGGGTCCCCCTCATATCCGGAGGAGCTGCCCTCAGTGCCAGATGTGGGTGTGGGAGTGAATTCACCTTCCCTGAAATGGGGGGAGGTAAGGATGGAGGGATGGGGATGGAGCAGGGACTGCTCTCAGACCCTGTCTGCCTCCTTCCAAGATTGGCTCCATGCAGGCAGCTGTCCTCATCCCATAAGAACCCCAAGATCAGACTTATTAATTCCATTTGGGTGCAATTAATCCCATCCCATTGGCTCATGGACCCTCACAGACCCCATGCTCCCATCACTGTGGCTCTGCTTGTGTGGGGTGGGACGGTGGGGAGGGGGTTCATGCAGTGCTTTCTTAACTGGAGAAGCTGCACTGAGGCAGGGAAACTGAGGCAGGGCAACCTATTGCAACATGAAAATAAAAGAGAAGTTTTTGCTCAGCAAACAGCAACATGGAACAGCTCCTGCTGCTCCAGGGCTACAAACAAACCCTTGAAACTCAGAGTCCCCTTTCCCATATTGTGACAATTGGATGTTTTATATGAAACCATGAAATCTTCCCATTTCCCCAGAGAAATAACCACTCAGGGTCCGTGCCTTAAGGGACAGATTATTTTCTCAAGGCCGTTTACTTTGATGGCACCATTACACGATTCTTCAAAGAGGGGATGGGCTGCTCAGACCCCAGTCAGACTGTGGGTTTGGCACAGGAAGGTGCCCCCATGTCCATTTCCTATAGTTGCACTGAATGCTAAATAATACAAAAGCAGCAGGATTGGAGCTTGGATCCGATGGGATTTGTGTTGAGCAGAGCTCGGTGTCGGCTTCCCTCGCCGTGTTGTCTTACAGCTGCCTCACCTTTCAGGGCCAGCACTTCACCTCCATCCTGATAGCAGGAGGGGAATGTGCAGCACAGAGGGATGAGCTCAGATCAGGACATAACACGGGGCAGTGGAGAGCTGAGGAAGAGAGGAGGTGGTCACCTGGAGGGATCCCACATTCTTGTGTTCCATGAGGGTTCTGGGCAGTGGTTTCACCAATGTGGGGCGCAAAGCTGCAGGGTATGGAAATAAGAAACCTTTGCACAGGGCTCCGCTTTGCTGCATCCTCACCTGGGAGGAGGAGGAAGTTCTGCTGTTTAGAAATAGGCTGCTTGCTTTGAAAATTTGGAAGAAGCTTTTTTTAATCCTTTACCATCTTCAGTCCTGTGTTAGGGCTCAGTTTGACTAATAAGGATCTGGAGCTAATTGAAGCCGTGCCAAAGTGAGACCTTCCTGAAATGCTGCAGTTTTCACAGGAAATTGCCACAAAACCCAGTACCATCCCATAATATTGGTTTTCCCAGCAGTTTGCACGTCAGCAGCTCAGATTTTAAATGCCCAAACGACCTTCAGCTGCTCCATTTTTCAGCCCCGTTAACAGATGGGCTCCAACCAGAAGCACTTTGGGCACTGCTGTCCTTGGCTCAACCAAATCCCTCATCCCGATGGAATTCCAGCAGCATTTTGGCCACGACCTCAGTTCCTGTGGGATGTGGGATCAGAATTTTGCAGCAGTCCCAGGGGTTGGAGGGCATTGGCTGGTGGAAGTGTTGGTGAGGACCATCATATTGGTGGGGACATCATGGTGATAAGAGCATCGTGTTGGTGGGAACATTGTGTTGGTGGGAGCATCATTTTGGTGGGAGCATCATATTGGTGGGGACATCGTGTTGGAGGAAGGATCATTTTTGTGGGGCTATCGTACTGGTGGGGACATCACGTTCATGGGACCATCATTTTGATGGGACCATCACATTGGTGGGGACACCGTGTTGATGAGCAACTCCCAGTTTCGGAGTGCGTGTCTTTAATTAACCTCATGGCTGTGCCCCATGAATTCTGATTCCAGAAAACCCACCCGTGTTTGTGCGGTTGGGACTGGGGGCGTCGCTGGGTTCCTCCTGGTGGGGGCAGCTCTGCTGGGTGGTGTAGGATCCACTCGGGTGTCCCGGAGGAGCCTGGCTCCATGCAGGACCCAGAGGCTCCAACTGCCCCCAAGGGTGATGTCCAACAAGGGGCTGAGCCAGAGAGTAGCTGCAAGAGAACCCTTGTGGAGAAGCTGAAGGTAGCATGGCCAGAGCTCCTTGCACCAACACCCAGAGGTGCTCTGGGGAGATGGTTTGTGGTGGGCAGGGTGGTGCTGATTGGTGGTACCCACTGAACGCACCCAGGCTTGCAAGTTGGCAGTGATTTTATTCTGCGCTTTTTCTGAGGTTGTTTTGTACAAATCTGTTCTGGGGGAGCTGAATTTGCTGCTAAAATGGGCTGAAGGTAAGCAAATAAGGGAGCCATGAGTGCTGCTTTGGCCATGGGAGCATCAGGTCAACCCCAAGAGCAGCACTGCTATCCAAACACATCAATCCAGAGAGCAGCGGTGTGGAGAGACCCCATTCCCCTTCCCAACACATAACCACAGACCCAGGGGTGAGCATCTTCCTGAGCACCTCTGTTGCATCAATTTTGGGTGCAAATCTCCAACAAAAAGTGCACCATTATCGTCTGTTTGAACAGCCCACAATCCTCTGGTGGCTGTGATGTCAGCTGGGTACAGTGAATGGGAATTCACAGCTCCTAGCCCTTTGTCATCCCCCTTCATGAAGGAATAATTTGGAAACCAGTGGAAACACAACGGTGCTCACTTGGAGGTCGCAGTTTCTTTTTGCATTGGTGAAAGCACTGCGATCCTTGTGGGTGAATTCCTGTCCACGAGTGGTCGTGAATGGAGCAATAGATTTTTGGCTTTTGATGCACAAATGCACTCCTGATGCAGCGATGGTATCTCAGCCCAGGAAGGCATCAGCTCTTTTGCAAGGGGAAAAATCACATTTTCCAAGGAAGGCAACCAGGGCTTCCCGTGCCCTCACCGTGCTGGGGATAGAGCTGCCCTTGTAGGTCTCTGCTTTTGGAGTTGGTGATGGCCATGTCCTGTGGCCAAGTGCCACCTAGCGAGCCCTGCAGGGATCTCCATCCAGCACAGCTGCACTGCATCTTTAGGCATGGAAAAGTGCATTTCCCCCCCTAGTCTTGAAATCTCTTTATTTATTTCATAGAATCAGAGAACGGCTTGGGTTGGAAAGGACCTCAAGGATCATCAAACTCCAACCCCCCTGACGCAGGCAGGGCTGCCAACCTCCACATTTAATACTAAACCAGGCTCCCAGGGCCCCATCCAACTCCAACCTGGCCTTGAGCACCTCCAGGGATGGACGGGGTATCCACAGACTCTGTTTGTTCTAGAAAGCTGCCAAAGGGCTGTAAAAGCAAAGAAGTATGGGTTTTGTCTTCGAGCAACCCCATTCCCCTTCCCAACACATAACCACAGACCCAGGAGTGAGCATCTTCCTGAGCACCTCTTTTGCATCAATTTTGGGTGCAAATCTCCAACAAAAAGTGCACCATTATCGTCTATGCTACCCTCTCCTCCTGCAATAAATACTGGCAGCCTCATTTTCTATAAAAACACAAGAATAAAATGTAATCCTGCTCCTTGCCCAGCAGGGACCCGATGAAGAGGCTGTGGTTGACCAAGGAGGAACGAGCAACGTTGTCAATATCCACTATGAAAAGGAGGAGCTGGAAGGTGAGAGGTTGGACTGGATGATCTTTTCCCACCTTAGTGATTCTGTTAGGCTATAGCAGAAGCTGCTGTGCCTGTTAACCAAGAAACACGCTTCCTTTCATGATTTTCATATTACTATTTTTTTTAATGGAGGAGGGCAGGGTGAATCCCAGAACAATAGGGGCTGGAAAGAACCTTTGGGTTCCTTCTGCTCAGACAGAACTCTATGGGTTCTATGCACTTGTCCTGGCTCTGGGCAGCACCACGCAGATCCCAGCCCCATCTTTCTGGGTTTCTCCTTTAGATGTTGATCAGCACTGCTCAGGTCCCCCTTCCCTTTTTCTCCCCCAGGAGAGCAGCCCTCTCAGCCTGTCCCCACCAAGAGGGGCTCCAGGCCCCCAGTAGCTCTGCACCCTGTCTGACCTGAACTGGGAGCCCAGTGCTCCAAATGGGTTCTCCCCAGTGCAGAGCAGAGCAGGAAGAACCTCCCTGCCCTGCTGGCTGTGCTCTGTGCAGTGCCCCACAGGGAACCTTTGGCCAACAGGGCACACTGCTGGCTCATGGTCACCCTGTTGATCGACCCTTGGTCAACTCTTGGTCAACCCGTTGGCCACCATTGACCCTCTTGGGCATGCTGCTGGCTCACAGTCACCTTGTTGGCCACCAGGACCCCCAGGTCCTTCTCTGCAGAGCTCCTTTCCGGCAGCTCAGCCCCCAACCTGCACTGATGCGTGCCCTTATTCCTCCCCAGGTGGAGAACATGATTTTCCCTCGGTGAACCCATGCTGACTGCCTCTGATTTTCCTCCTTTTCTTCCATCATCGCAGCTCCCTTTCTTAATGAGGCTGCTCCTCACTGGATGAGAATTGCAGACAGGGCTTCAATTCTTTGTTTTCCTATTGTTCTGGAACTCATTATCAGGAGGGTGACCTGATCATCTCACCACCTTGTCCTGTACAGAGATTTTAAGAATAATCCCCTTCGTAACGAGCAACTCTGAGCGTTGTCCAGGCAAAGCTTGAGTTGGAGAAGAGATTCAACGCTCCGGTGGTACTTTTAAAGAACCGAGAGCCAAGGCCTTTTGTCATTGCGTTGTAGCAAAACTCGAGTGAAATAAACCAACTGTGTCATGGTGCTGCTCTCCCACAGGACACCGGACCCTGTACGTGGGTGTGCAGATGCCCCTGGTGAGGCAGAGCCACCGACACCACCGGCCCCGCAGCCAGAAGCATCGGAAGCGCGAACGGGCGAAAGAGGCAGCCCCCGAAGAGCAGGGCTACCACTGTGAGTCGTGGGGATGAGGAGCTTTGAGGCTGAGGGGTTCCATGTGTGAGGTCTGTGGGGCGGCCTCGAGGGCTATAGCTGCTATTTGGGGTCAAAATTGCGTTACTGAGCGAGGGTTTCTATTTGCAGAGCTGGAGTTGGGGAGCTGTGGGAGTTGGGGATGTGGTTACTGGGCATGGTGGGGGTGGGTTGATGGTTGGACTCGATGATCCTGGAGGTCTTTTCCAAGCATCATGATTCTGTGATTCTTGTATTGATTGAGCATGGTGGTTGGATTTGGTGATCTTATAGATGCCTTTTCTGACCTTTATGATTCTGTGATTCTCGTGCTGGTTTGATGCCTGGCCAGCTGCTATTTTGGGGGAAAATTGCATTACTTAGAGCAAGAGCCTGTGTTTGCAAGCTTTTCTTGAGATTTGGTTTTTTTTTTTCCAGACAATCAAATGCATAGACTCATCTTCGGGAGTCTATGTGGGAGAGTCACATTTATTGGAGGATGTAGAATAGATTGGAGGAGACTGGGAGGGAGGAAGACTTGGAGGAGACTTGGAGGAGGGAAAAAATTATTTTCCAAAGGAGTGGTGATGCAGTGGCACAGGCTGCCCTGGGAATTGGTGAGATCACCATCTCCAGAGGTGTTCAAGAACCATGGAGATGTGACACCTGTGGGCATGGTGGGACGGGTTGGGGTCAGACTGGGTGATCTCAGAGGTCTCTTTCAACGTTAATGATTCTGTGATTCTGTGATTCTGTTTAGGGACGTGGTTAGGGGGCATGGTGGGGATGGACTAGTCGTGGCACTTGGTGATCTTAGAGGTTTTTTCCAACTCAAGTTTTGCCTTTAGTGGATGTTTATGGCTGACCTGGTCCCATCATGTGCATTGGGGTCTGTGCTTCTCCCGCAGACACGCCGTCCCAGAGGGTGCAGTTCATCCTCAGCACCGAGGAGGACGAGCAGCACGTCCCTCACGATCTGTTCACCGAACTGGATGAGATCCGCGTGAAAGAGGGCGAGGGCACGGAGTGGAAGGAGACGGCGAGGTAAATGGCAGCTCCTCCTGCAGCAGGGCTGTCTGCAGTGCCATGGGGCTGACCCCGAGCGGTGCCCTGCAGGTGGCTGAAATTCGAGGAGGACGTGGAAGACGGCGGCGAGCGCTGGAGCAAACCTTACGTGGCCACGCTCTCCTTGCACAGCCTCTTTGAGCTGAGGAACTGCATCATCAAAGGCACAGTGCTGCTGGATATGTGTGCCAACAGCACCGAGGAGATCGCAGGTAGCGCTCGGGGTCGGGGTAGGACCATGCACTGCAAACCTTTCCCCCAGCACATCCTATCTTTCAGAAATCCCGTTGCACTTTTGTGTCTTTTGTTGGGGTTTGCTTTGGCCTGGCGGCGGGGTGAGCGTTTTCTTGCAACGTGGGACCCTTCTGAGAGCCTTTTGTGGGGCTGGAGAAACAACTTGGAGAATATTTTCCATCCAAAAAAGGCGTTTGCAATCAGGGCTCAGCAGTCTGCTCGTGGAACCATGGAGTTTGCAAAGAGCTGAACCTCTTAGAAATGAACACAGCCTGCATAAGGGCTGAGCCTCGTTAAAGAAATTAGTTATTACCAGCTATTTCCTCACATTCTTTTTTTCCCTTTTGCATTAACACTGAGGATTTGGGAGCTTTGAAGGCAGGGTTTATCTGGCAGATGACCAGGCAGTGTGTTTCAGGGTGAGGGGAGGAGGAAGATAATAGAAGTTAATTGGAAAAGCAGCTTTGGAGAAATGATGGTTGACTGGTGGTCTCCATTCAGCCCTTGCAGGAGGCAGTGGAGTCGCAGCCATTCTCAGCACATTTCTCAGCAAATTGCAGTCATTTGGTGGAGGGAACTCAGGGAAGGTCTGTGCTGTGGGTTGCATTTAATTTGGTTAGATACGTGGAGTAACACTGAAAGACCAGACCAGGCAAGGAAATCGCATTATTTAGAAGGAGAAATAATTATCATAGTTGAGCAATGAATAAGCACTTTGACGCTGTTTTTTAGGAAAAGAAAATTCTTGGTTTTGTTGCAAAAGCTCAGTTGCATTAAAAGACCTCATGGAGTAAAAGCTGTGCCCGTGCTGAGCTGTGCTGCATTCCTCTTGGGTTCTGCAGGGGTTCTCCTCTCACATCCCTTTCCCACCCTCAGATATGATCCTGGACCAGCACAACCACTCCAGTGAGTTTGATGAGAGCATGAGGGAGAAGGTCCGGGAGGTCCTTCTCAAAAAGCACCACCACCAGAATGAGAAGAAGAGAAACAACCTCCTCCCCATCGTCCTCTCCTTCGCTGACAAGCCAGGTGAAGGGTCCTATAGGGCCGAGCACTGGGTGGATGTTCCTGTAGGGTTTGGCACCAGGTGAAGGTTCTTGTAGGATCTGGCCCCATTGGACTTTCCCTGCACAAGGATAAGTGTCCCGATTGCTCCTTGTCTTTCTTTCTGAGTCTTTCTTTCTCCTCCCAGCCCAAACGCTCATCCCCCATCCTCCTCCCACCACCATAGAAGCTAAAAATGGGGTAAGCCACGACACCAGCCCCATGGATTTAAGCAAGGTGAGATCCTGTAGCTCTCTTAGTCCTTTAAGGCTGGCTTTGCTCTTGCAAATGCGTCTACAGCAGAGTGCTGTGGGCTTTCACTTTGGGGTAAGAGCCTGAAAATCCCTTTATTTGTCGTGCACAGGCAGAGCTGCACTTCATGAAGAAAATTCCCACCGGGGCTGAAGCAGCAAACGTGCTGGTGGGAGAGCTGGATTTCCTTCAGCAGCCCATCATGGCCTTCGCCCGCCTCACCCCGGCCGTCCTCCTCTCGGGCATGACAGAAGTCCCCATCCCAACCAGGTCTGAAGGAGAAGCACAAAGTTTTCTTTAAAAATAACAACAAAAACCGACATCTAAATTCATCCCGAGAGAATGAGGCCAGCAGGAGCGAGTCTACAAGCACACTTCCCCCATCTCTCATTCTCCACCTTCGTTTCTCCCTTCCTTGCTGTGGTTTCTAAAGGCATTGGCCGATTGTAGCGAACATCAACCCCAAAATTACAAAATGCATTGGCCAGCTGTAATGAACGTCAACCTAAAAATTAAAAACTGCCTTGGCCAATGTTAATGAAACTCAGCCTGAATAGTCAGTTGTGAAGGTGATCGGTTTTGATGAGTTTAAAATCCAGCACCCGTGTGCCCAGTCTTGGGTTGAGCTCTGGACTGGGAGCTGCTGGGATTTCTTTGGGCACTCCCTAAGCAAGGACCTGTTCTTCTCTCTTGTTTTGTTTTTCTCACTCAGGTTTCTGTTTGTGTTGTTGGGACCAGAAGGAAAAGCCCATCAGTACCACGAGATCGGCAGGTCCATGGCCACGCTCATGACGGATGAGGTGTGATGAGATAATGGAGATCCCAGGGTCATTTTTGGCTTTCTTCCTCTCTCCCCAATCTCCACTGCAGTGAGGATTTCGGACCACCTCCACTGTAGCAAGGAAGCAGATCTGGAGAGCTGAAAGCTCCCAAATTTTGTACCTAAAGCCAACACCTGGGGTCTGCATCTCCCCATATAGAGGGCATGGTGGAGATGGATCGACAATTAGATGGATGACTGAAGTGGTCTTTTCTAACCTTAATTATTCTATGATTCTATGATTCTATCCCAGAGCCCACATTCCCACCCTCGTTACAATCCTGCACCTCATTCCTGCTCTGCAGAATCCCCAACATGCGAAACCTCTTTAAGATGACTGAAGGATGGGAGGAGATGATCCCATATCCCACAAATTTTTCCTTTTGGGGAAACTTGGGGGAAAACTCTTTCGCATTTATCTGGGAACTTTTCTTTGTGCTGGTTAGGACACCAGTGCTGCATTGTCCCTTCACCAGTTGTCCTCTACCTGCAGGTTTTTCATGATGTTGCCTACAAAGCCAAGAACCGGGCTGACCTGGTGGCTGGCATCGATGAGTTCCTGGATCAGGTCACGGTTCTGCCACCGGGAGAGTGGGACCCATCGATCCGCATCGAGCCCCCCAAAAATGTCCCTTCTCAGGTGGGTGCTGCTGTGGAGGGAGGTGTGAGAGGGTGGGTGGGAGACTTACAAATAAATCCATCTTTCTGTCTTATGGCTGTTTGTATAGAAAAAAAGGAAGATGCCCGGAGCTCTGGATGACAATGCTTCTCACAGAAAGCCTGAAAAACATAGCGGCCCTGAACTGGAGCGGACGGGAAGGTGGGAGGCTCAATATTCTTATTTATAATAAAAGGGGAGATATGGGTGAGATTTGGGGTGGAAACTCTTTACCCAGAGGGCAGTGAGACCACTTCTGCCCATAGAAGTGTGGGTGCCCCATCCCTGGAGATGCTCAAGGATACAGATGGGGCTCTGGACTGCTGATGGAGGGGTGGGACCAGCCCAGGCAGGTGGTGGAGCTGGAGAGGCTTTGAGAACCCTTACAACTCAACCATCCTATGGTTCTGTGATCTGGAAGGACCCTTCCAACTCAACCATTCCGTGGTTCTATGATCTTTAAGATCGCTTACAACTCAACCATCCTATGACTGTAAGATCTTGAAGGACCCTTCCAACCCAACCACCCTGTGGTTCTACGATCTTAAAGGACTCTTCCAACCCAACCATTCTGTGGTTCTGTGATCTTTGAGTTCCCTTCCAAGCCAAGACATATTGTGGTTTTATGGTTCCATGGTTCTATGATGGGGTCTCAGGTCAGCTCTTTTTCATTGTTGGAGGGTTTTTTTGGTGTGTATAAAATGGGAGAGGGACACTGCTTTTTAGCTATGAAAGCTGCTCTATGTCCATAGTTGCACAAAATTCTCTGTTCTGCCAGCACTATCTATTTTCTTGTCCCTCCTCCAGACTCTTTGGAGGTTTGATCCTGGACGTGAAGCGGAAAGCACCGTGGTTCTGGAGTGACTTTCGGGATGCACTGAGTCTGCAGTGCCTGGCATCCTTCCTCTTCCTCTACTGTGCCTGCATGTCCCCTGTCATCACCTTTGGGGGGCTGCTGGGGGAGGCAACCGATGGCCACATAGTGAGTGTGGGGTGATGGGGAGGTGTGCATGGCTGTGATACAATGGGACATGGCTGGAGATGGGACTTGTTGTGTTGGCAGTTGGGCTTGATGACCTTATAAGTCTTATCCAAACTAAATGACGCCATGTTTCTATTTGCTATTTCTACCCACGTGATTTAATTGCTCTTCTGTTCCCTGGGCAGAGCGCCATGGAGTCACTGCTGGGCGCATCCATGACTGGCGTTGTGTATTCCCTCTTTGCTGGCCAACCTCTCACCATCCTTGGCAGCACCGGCCCTGTCCTCGTGTTCGAGAAGATCCTCTACAAGTTCTGCAAGTAAGGTTGGATGCACGGAGCCTTCTGAGGGCTGAGAAGAGATTTTTTTTCAGTTATTTTTCTTAATGGTAGCTGTAAGATTGGAGTTGATCGGGGTTGGCTTCTGTGGCACGCGCCTAGTGCATTGCATGTTCCTACCTCCAGGATGCAAGGGTTTGTGCAGGGTTTGTAGGGTTAAGGCAAAACAGGAGGAGGAGAAATCACATGTATAGAGATGTCCAAGATGGGACGCATGAGTGAAAGGAAACAAATCACTCTGTTTTGGGAGCATGAAGGAAGATTTGCTTTGCTCTCAGCACAAAACCGGGCTTTTTTTCCAAAAGTAGAAGTATGTTTTGCCCAAACAGCCTTACAATTTTCCCTTCTGCTGAAATATTTTGAGATTTGATGATTTTGTGGAGAAAGCAGGAGCTTTTCATGCAAAATGCATACTTTCTGTGACAGCCATTGGCTGTGATGACAGTAATTAGTGACCCTTGCTGCAATTAATCACTCACATCATTCAGGTAGCAGGCTCTGGGTGCCCAACCAGAGGGTTTTGGTGTTGGCATAGGGTGATAGGCAAACACAGTGTGCTCCCCTACAAAGACCTGACGTCAGTTAGCCTCTGAGATATTAACACCGCATCACTGTTAAATAATGCTAATTACCTCATTGGCCTCTCCACCCGTGGGCCCACACCCTGCAGCCCCACGGCTCTCTGTAGTACATGCAAACCGCATTCCTTGGCACGTTCCTACATCTCTCTGGATTTTCCCTGAAGGAAAACCCATTAGGTTTCCCTCCCATCTCAGGGACTACGCACTCTCCTACCTGTCCCTGCGGACGTGCATCGGGCTGTGGACTGCCTTCCTCTGCATGGTGCTGGTGGCCACGGATGCCAGCTGCCTGGTGTGCTACATCACCCGCTTCACCGAGGAAGCCTTCGCCGCCCTCATCTGCATCATCTTCATCTACGAGGCTCTGGAGAAGCTCATCTGCCTGGGAGAGACCTACCCAGTGCACATGCACAGCCAGCTCGACTTCCTCACCCTCTACTAGTGGGTTTTTTTCCCCTCAAACACCCCACTGGCAGCACCTTAGGGCTGCACCTCCATTGCTCCTCCTTCCCTTCCCCTTGGTTCTCTCCTCCCAGCTGTAAGTGTGCAGCTCCCACCCATCCCACCAATGAAACGCTGCACTTTTGGCAGAGCAATGAGGTCAACCCTGCAGCCATCGCCTGGGAAAACCTCACCGTATCTGTAAGTGCCCATTGGTGTCAAGGCGGTGCCAGAGCCCTTCGGGTGATGTTTTGCTTCAAACTGATGTGAAAAATCACTGCTGAAGTGCAGTGTGTGTGGTTCCCACCTGTGGTCTTGGGAAGGAGTGCACCGTATTCTTAGCCCTGTGGTGATGGCTGTCACCCCCAGGCATGCTGCAGGGTGGTATTTCTGGCTGGGAGTGAGGTCGGTGGTGGCGTGAGCACTGGAGGAATTGGAGGTCTTAAGTTCATGCTTGAAGGTGGTAATTGGTTCTTTAATTGGTCCTCAGTAACTCCAGGGTTAGTTCTTATTCAGCGCTGTCTGCACCTACGTGCATAAGTCTTAGTGTCTGAGTGTGCATATATCTGCATATCTGAGCGTGCACACATCTGCGTGTCTGCTGTGTCCCAGGGATGAGCCCTGGGAGATGATGCTTTGTCTCTCCTTTCCTACCATGGTGGTCACCGCCCTCCTTCCCCTTTTTCTCTTTACTCTTCCCCCAAGAATCCCCTTTGGGTGTCTCATCCCCCTGTGGTGCCTTCAGCCATGGCTGCATGCAGTCCAAATGGAGAACGTGTCATGGCTCTGTGCCCCATCACAGCCCATTTCTCCCTCTCCCCTTTGTTGATGTGTCACTCGTTAAGCTCCTGCAGCTCCTCAGATATAAATGTCCCCTGCCAGCAGCAGGCACAAGGTCATGGATCTTGGACCAAGACCCCAAACCTGCCCCAGTTCCCCAATGTTTCCCTTGAGCACATGCACCTCTTTTGTGTCCTCATGCTCTGTTTCTCCAGGAATGTCGACATTTGCATGGAGAATTTCATGGACCCGCCTGTGGACACGATGGCCCCTACACACCCAATGTCCTCTTCTGGTCCTGCATCCTCTTCTTCTCCACCTTTGTCCTCTCAAGCTCACTGAAGATGTTTAAAACCAGCCGCTACTTCCCAACCAGAGTAGGTAGAAGGTGGGGGCCAGCAGCGGGCCCCACACTCATTGACCCACATATTGGAGCATTTGTCACTACTGGGTCAAGAACTGCTCATGGAAGAGCCTTGAAGACCATGATCTCTATTGGCTTGGATGGGATCTCCACCGACTTGGATGGGATCTCCATTGGCGTGGATGGGATCTCTATTGGTTTGGATGGGATCTCTATTGGCTTGGATGGGATCTTTATTGGCTTGGATGGGATCCCCATTAGTTTGGATGGGATCTCCATTAGTTTGGATGGGATCTCCATTGGTTTGGATGGGATCTCCATTGGCTTGGATGGGATTTCCATTGGCTTGGATGGGATCTCCATTGGTTTGGGTGGGATCTCCATCGGTTTGGATGGGATCTCCATTGATTTGGATGGGATCCCCATCCATTTGTTTCCTCACCATTTCTGTGAGCTCAGTGTCTCTGCATTTCCCACCTGCCTTAAGGCCGGTCCCAGTGCAGTGTAAAATGATGACATGATTCTATGAAATCAGATCCTCCAAAGTTATTTTTTTTCCCCTCACCATTGTTACTCTAGGGGAAGGTTGGTTCAAATGAAGAGCTGCCATAGAAGAAGAGATATTTCTTCTTTGTAGGGAACAAATATGCCTCAGTGCCTTATTCCCATTTCAGCAGTGAGAGTGGCTGCAGTGGCAGATGTTTATTTCCAAATATTTAATAATGATTGAAACAAAAAGAACTAAAGCATCCCTTTCCCCTTAATTAAGCTGTTTTCTTTTCTATGTGACACCAGATCTCACAGGGACAAACACAGCAGCAGTTTCTATCCAAGGGATTCAGCTCACGTCCTCAGAGTGGTGGGGTTTTGTTGATCAGCCTTCATGTTGTTCACATCCCTAAGCTTTTTCATCTCGTGCTGCTCCTGTGTTTTCATGACCCTTTCTTTCAGCACTGATTTCTTGCTCCCATAGGTCCGGTCTACGATAAGTGACTTTGCTGTTTTCCTCACCATCGTCGTCATGGTGGTCATTGACTTCCTCATTGGGATCCCATCACCAAAGCTCCACGTCCCCCATATGTTCAAGGTAATGGGGAGCTTTGGCACAGGGTTGGCTTCACCCCATGCCTGTGCTGCTGGGGACATCAACCTGGTGATAATAGGGCTGGACAGGGCTGAGCCTGAGAGAGGTGCTGGTGGTGTGACTTTCTTCCACCTTCAAATGCAACAAGAAAACAACCCTAAAACTTGATATGTACAGGAGAAAGATCTATGGGTAAATATCTATGGGTAGATATCTATGGGTAAATATCTATGGCTTGTAAAGAAGACACCAGTGCTGCTGAACCCCATAGCAGAGAGTGATGCAAAGCATTGAGAATGCTTCAAAGTGGAGATGGAGGGGAAATCCAGGCTGGCAGATGACGCTGATGCTGGTGCTTTGTCCCAGCCCACCAGGGATGACCGTGGGTGGCTCATGAACCCCATAGGACCCAACCCATGGTGGACGGTGTTGGCTGCACTCATCCCAGCCCTGCTCTGCACCATCCTGATATTCATGGACCAGCAGATCACCGCCGTCATTGTGAACAGGAAGGAGCACAGGCTGAAGGTAAGGGTTGGAAGCAAGAGGAGAATCCAACCCCAACCCCAAAAAATGCAAACACATTTGTTTGGGACAACACAACTCTGCTTGGCAGGATGCTGCTCTGCATTAATTATGTCACAGGGAGCAAACAAGAGGGCAATTTGTACAAGCAACCTCTCTGAGGCAGCAAATTAACCTCGTAACAATAAGGAGGAGTGTTTCTGTTTTAAAATGTCAGCAGCAAATCTAGGGGAATGAATCGTTTTAATGCAGTGCCAGGAACCTGCCAGTCACATCTCACTTGCGAGTGGTGGGAGTGTGCTGTAAGAATGGGAAAAAGTCAATATTTTTTGACGAGTTAGGAGTTGTACTGAAAAAATCCCACCCTAGAGTCTGCTTTGTCTGAACTCCTGACAGATTTTCACAGGAAGAACTTGTGCAAACCTGAGTGTATCTGTAATTGTTTCCAATTATTTTAAATTTTCAAAGAGTTGACTCGGGCTCGGGCAAGCTGAGGGTTTACCTCATTGCTCTTCTGCTGTGGGATGCTCTGTTTCTCGTTCTGCAGAAGGGATGTGGGTACCACCTGGACCTCTTCATGGTGGCTGTGATGCTCGGGGTGTGCTCAGTGATGGGGCTGCCCTGGTTCGTGGCTGCGACCGTCCTCTCCATCACCCACGTGAACAGCCTTAAACTGGAGTCAGGCTGCTCAGCTCCTGGAGAACAACCCAGATTTTTGGGGATACGAGAGCAGAGGGTCACGGGATTGATGATCTTTGTGCTCATGGGCTGCTCTGTCTTCTTGACTGCTGTGTTAAAGGTGAGAGGAAAATGCAAAGCACCCAACAGCCTGGAGGAATTTTTGGAAATTGCACAAAAGTAGTCCCTAGTCCCCTCTCTCCAGGTCTGAGGGGCACAGCAGGTGATCCCAAAGCTTGAGGTGTGAGCCATAATAGCAACTGGCCCCACTTACACTTCAGACCCCAGTCAGGCATACTTGAGGGCACCAAGCCACATCATTTTTTGATTGCCTTTTAGACCCACCTGTGTTTATGGGCTACAACCTCATGCATTCAGACCACTACATCCACTCTCTTTCCATCAGGCAGTAAATGGACAGGTTGCATTGTGCTCCCCAGTGCCTCAGAGCTGCCATTCCTGGTGGCTAAACATGCTGCAGTCATCTCGTGCACATCCCTCCCACAAAGTAATTTCATCTCCAGGCTGAAGGCAGGCATACCACCTCTGCATGTTGCCACAGGAATATGTAGAGCTGTTTTCCTGCCGTCACAGAGTGCAGCATATGGTAGCATGGGTGAAATCACCTATTTTCCTGCATTCTTTCTGGAAAACTGGATTATTCTGATGAAAAAGTCACTCAAAAGTTCTGCCTAAAGCGGAGCATTTCTCACACGCATGCACAAAATGTCCAATGGATAAAATTCGACACGTCTCCAACCCTGTGGAAGCTGGAAGGCTTTGGGCAACTTTATGCAGAATGAAAGGATAAGATTGAAAATGCAATGGCTTTACTTAAAATAGCATTCCCTTTGCAGTTTATACCAATGCCTGTGCTGTACGGTGTCTTTCTCTACATGGGGGTATCGTCGCTCAGAGGAATCCAGGTATGGACTGTTGCACCATGCAGCTGTTTGCTCCCTGATATTTCATCTTACTGAGAGAAGGGGAAAAAAAGGTCTTGCAGTCAGCAGTGGGGGAAAAGGGAAAAGCCTCTTCAAGTGCAAGAGATGGAAATACAGAATCACAGAATGTCCCAAATTGGAAGGAACCCATAAGGGTCATGGAGCCCAAATTCTTGGTTGGAGGTGGTAGAGGCACAGGGGGTCTGCAGGGCTGGGAGGACCAGGTGGGTTTGGTGCTCTCTGTGTTATAGTCTCAGTGCTTTGTTATGTGAAAATGGGAGAATTTAATGCAAGTGGAAGGAAATATCCCCCTCTCGTGGAAGTTGTTGTTGGAGGTTTCATTAGGCAAAGGAAAATTAATTATAGACTCATGTGGGATAATAACAATTTGGTGACAGCTCTGTGGGGGTTATGTTCCCATAAGAAGAGATCAACACTTTTTGTGAGAGCCCTAATAAACAGGTCTCAGTAAGGCCACCAACTCCCTACAACCCCATGGTGGCATCTCCTCGTTGTTTTGCAGTTCTTTGACCGCCTGAAGCTGTTTGGGATGCCGGCCAAGCACCAGCCCGACTTCATCTACCTGCGGCACGTGCCGCTGCGCAAAGTGCATCTCTTCACCCTGGTGCAGCTCACCTGCCTCGTGCTGCTCTGGGTCATCAAGGCGTCCCGTGCGGCCATCGTCTTCCCCATGATGGTTGGTGGCTCTCAGCAAGATGCTTGCAGCATTGAGTGGGGTGTAGTCATGCCTCTGGTCTCACCATGGTTTCCCTTTAAGGTCCCTTCCAACCCAACCATTTCATGGTTGTGTGACCTCTAAGGACTTTTTCAACCCAACCATCTTATTTTTCTGTGATTTTGAAGGGCCCTTCCAACCCAACCATTCTATGGTTCTATGATCTTGAAGGACCCTTCCAGCCCAACCATCCTATGTTTCTGTTTCTGAAGGTTCTGGCTCTCGTTTTTGTCCGGAAAGTCCTGGATTTCTGCTTCTCAAAGCGAGAGCTCAGTTGGCTGGATGACCTCATGCCAGAAAGCAAGAAGAAAAAGTTGGACGATGCCAAAAATGAAGCCAAAGAAGAAGAGGTAATGCTGCTGGGTGCCTGGGGGCTGTGAAATTTCTATCACAGCCAGTCATTAAATGGTGTGAGGAGTCTGGAACTAGGCAGAAGGAGACTCCAATGGCTTTTGGCAACCATTTCTTTACTCTAAATTATCACTTGAACAGACATACAATAAGCTTAACTGTTGAACAATCATACAATTTTTAAAACGCCTTTTAAAATAAAATTGTTTGATTATTGTCGTTATTTTTATCATTATTATTGGAAAGATTTGCTCACAATGGGTCTTTAAACCCCCAAAATTTTTGGAGTGGAAGGTTTTCTTCCTGCTCCATCAGTGCTAAAGCTGCCGAGGACCAGGAGGGGCAGCATGCAATGTCTGTGTGGGGTTTTTGCTCAAAGGCAGGAGGTTGATCTTCCCCTCTGCTGCAGGAGTCTCAGCAGATGATGGAAGCTGCTGCTGCAAACTCAGTCCAGCTGAGCCTGGGGAAGACGAGCTACGTGGGTGTCCCCAAGCAGAACAGCAGGGACAGGTAAAGCCCCCCCACATGCCAGGCATGGAGGGATGGGTTGGGGTTGGACTGGATGATCTTATAGGTCATTTCCAACCTCACTGCTCTGTGATTCAATTCAGGGACATGGTGAGTGGGCTTGGTGGGGACGGGTCAAGGGTTGGACTTGACGATTCACGAGGTCTTTTCCAACTGTAATAATTGGTTCTATGATTGCAGGACTGACCCTTCTGAGATCAACATCTCAGATGAAATGTCGAAGACAACTGTGTGGAAGGCTCTCACCATGAACGCAGAAAAACTCTGAATCCGAGGAGGAAAAAGGGAAAAGGTAATGATAATGGTGAATGTGACCGTGCTGCTCTGCAAGCGCAGTGCCAAGGAGCTCATCCCCAGCAGCAGGCAGCAAGTACCGGATGAGATTGGAGGATGGCAACCATTTTGGAGATCTTTCCAACTTTAATGATTCTATGTTTCCCTCTTTTTCTTTTTCTTTTTTTCCCCTCAGTTGTCCTCTGTAGGGATCTTGGCTTTGAAGGAGAGGAGCGAGAACGTGACTCAGGGATGAGCCAGCGCAGCTCTGTTGGGTGGAGGAAGCAAACACGCACCCTCCCTGGTTCTCTCCTCCAAGTAGCAGGATTCCCATTAAAGCCATTTAAGACGTTTCCAGTTATCCTTGGTGTGCTTCAGGCATTCAGTATCTCTAGACCAGCAATCTGAGGTGCACCTCGCTGTCAGTGGGAGCTCGGTGTTGCTCAGCCTCCGTGTGTACGTGTGTGTGCGTGTGTTGTCGCGGTCTGTGGTGGTAGAGGGACAGCTACCGCTTGGTCATTCAGTGCTATCTAGTTTTTTTTTTTATATATCTAATCTCCCCCCACCATTCCTCCCCCCCCACATTTCCCTTTTTCTGTCCAAATATAAACTCTGAATGTACAAAATAATTTTCTGTTATATTTGACGCATTCTACACTTTCTTCTTCGTCACTGCCAGATTTTGGGTTTGGTTCGGGGTCCTTGTTTGGATTCGCTCTTCCCTTCTATCTCTTACTGGTGTGGGAGAGATGTCCTCTGTCGTGGGAAATGCAGAGAGAAAGGAGAAGTGTTTGTTCCAGTTTTGTCATCATTTTTTGCTTTGACTCTAGAATCAGCAGGTGCCCACGGAAGGGGTTGGAACTGAGTGATCTTTAACAACTCGACAATCCTGTGGTTCTATGATCTTTGAGGTCCCTTCAACCCAGTCTTCCTATGATTCTACATAGGAATCTTAAGATCCTTATGATTCTACATAGAATCATAAGATTCTATAGATCTTAAGATCCTTTCCAACCCAACCATCTTATGGTTCCATGATCTTTGAGGTCCTTTCCAACCCAACCATTCTGAGTTTCTATGATTTTTTCAGGACTCTTCCAACCCAAACCATTCTATGGTGCTTTGACTCTAAAACGCAGAAATGCCACCTTCTTGTCCCTGGCTGTGAGTTGATATAAGGAAACTCCTAAAACCCACTGCTTTGAATAAACCATATGGTCACGGGAGCAGCCAGCCACATCCATTGCTTTCCTTGCTTTACATTCCCAGAATACTCCGCTCATTTTCTTTGCCCCCCCCACCCCATGCAAAAAGCCTCCTCTCTCTCCAGGTAGCATGGACCATCAGGAAAATAAATTGTCTTCAATGTCCCTTCCAACCCAACCATTCTGTGATCCTATGAAAGCAGGAAGAGGTTTTTCCTTTTTGCTTTCCCTGCTGCCCTGCGGGAAGATGCTGTTGAGCAGGGATGGTACCCATGTGCTCCTCACATTTTGAGAGCCATTGGGCTGTGCTCTCACCCCAGAGACAAACTCCCTTGGAGTCTGGAGGAAAGGGAACACAGAAGGGACAGTTGTCCTGTCCCCATCCCCACGTGAAATGGCTCCAGGCAATTGGAGCTGCTGCCATCTCCTCATCCCATTTGCTGTCCCATCCACTGGTTCAACATTTCCATGCATCAGATGAACCCAGAACTAATAAATGGGTGGGGGAAAATAATCTTCTGTAAGGATGTCAGTGGTGCATCAGCAAACAGGGCAGAAAATCACTGGTTTGGATTTGCAAACTGTGCTTTGGTGGCTGGTGGTTGTCAGAGAAAGGGATTTACTTCTTGATGGGAAAAATAAAATTGAATTGAAGGAAGGAAGGGGTGCAAAGCCTGAGTTTGCTCATTTCATGAGAGCAGTGCAGCTCTGACCTCGGAATTATTCACCCTCTGTCTGTAGGACAGCTGCTTTCTGTCTGTTTGCCTCCATTTATGAGCAGAAAGTTGGTCTCCACTCCTGTTCCCCCCAGAAGGGACTGAGGCCAGGGGATGGGATTGTTTTCTACATGCACTCAGCGTCCCACAGCTGGCATTGCTCCCTTGGAGGACCAGAAAAGTCCCAGCCATGAAGGCAAATGTTGTTGGTTCCTTATGTTAAAAGCAAACTAGGCTTCCTCAGAGTATCCTGGCATAGGATGCACAAACATCTGGATGTCAAATGATTTTTTCCCCTGTTTGCAGGCCTAGTCTTCTCTCCTTCATTGTACTTTTAAGCTATTATTTCAAAGGAAGCAGAGTTCTAATTCATAATGCCATTGTTGCAGTTGCAGCTGCAGTTCCCACTGCTGCTGCTCCGTTTACTCACCACCAACCCATGCATTGCTCTGTATGAGGCTTGGTTGGGGTTGGTGATCTCAGAGCTCTTTTCCAACAGTAATGATTCCATGATTTGGGGAGGATTTGATATTTCCACGTAGGGGGCAGGGAGCATCCCAAAGGATGGAATGCTGGAATCAGCATGGGATTAAAATCACCTCCTTGCAACCTGCCATGTTGGTTCGGTTGGCAGCAAACTCCATTCCCCCGATGCAGGATGGGTGCTGGGGTTCATCCTCATCTCTGGTGCCTTAAAACAGCTCCTGGGGCCATGCACAAAAAGGGGCTTTGGAAACACTGGGGGTGCGAGGAGGAGGAGGAAAAGGAGGAGGAGGAAGAGGAGGAGGAGGAAGAGGAGGAGCAAGAAGGCTCGCCACCAGCAATGCAAAAAGCAAAGCTCCCCTCTCCCATAGGATAAAAAAAAAAAATGAATCCTATGGAGAGTCCTAAGTGAAGAAGGGTGGGAGGAAAGTAAGAGGGTAATAAGTTTGGTGCTGGCACTTCTGTTTTGTCCCGGTGTATTCTCCCTTCTGCCATTCTAAATGTAGAAATAGAGGAATTATTTTTGTTCCGGAGATACTGAAATGAATTTATTTTTGTTGCAAGAGATGATCTAGTTTGGAAACGCACAGCATTGTAAATAAAACGGGGAGGAAAAGAAATCATCCGACCAAATCTGTGTTGTCTCCCAGTTCCGAATTTTAATTTATATATTTTTAAAGAATTTGATTTATTTAGAGCTCATTCTGTGAAACCCAAATGCCATCACTACGTGTCTCTGTCTCATGGTTCCCGTCTTGAATTGTTGCTGCTATTGACATGCTCCACCATCCCAGCCCCATCTGCTGTGAGTTTTCTCTGTCGTTCACTGACCACGATGGGAAAAATAACCCAATAAAATCTGTTTGTGTCTCTGTGCTGCTCTGGTGTCTTTTGAAGGGCTGTAGAGCTGATGGAGAGGATTGGAGGTGTTCCTGGAGATGTTTATGGGTGTTTCAGACAGGTGGAGGAGTGAGCAGCACTGATCTGGGGGAAATTCATCCCCACTGGGCCTTGTGTGCTGATGGGGAAGATGTGATACTGTTTTTTTTTTGAGCAACATCACTTTATGTCCTCGATGTGTAGCAAAACCCCATCCAGAGAGAGCAGTCCCTCTGTCTTGTGAGGTTTTCTTTTGGTAGCGTTTTCAATACAAACAGGGCAGAATTAAACAAAATATACTCTACTTGTCATTCATATACTCCTTTATTTAATCTTAGAGCCATAGGTCTGAGCAGATGGGACACTCAGGGGGGTCAGGAGAGTGCATCCTGGTTACCATCTACCTAAAACTGAAGGAATTTGGAGAAAAACGGGGCACGTGAATGAGCCCCTGGTCAGAGCTTGGTTCTCCCAAAGTCCTCAGGCAGCAGCATGCAGGATCCCCATGGGTGGCTGGGGTGGGTCGGAGCTCCCAGAACCAGATTTAGGAAGGACAGCACAGCAGGAATGGGGGTAGAGAGGAAATAAATTAGGCAGGGATGCTGAGCGGCAGCGCTGATTTCAGCGGGGGATTGGGAATCACCACGCGGGTTCGTGCAGCTGTTTCATGGATCAGTCCTTCTGCAGAGGGTCTGATTGCTGCTGGTGATGCAGGGGTACAACAGCCATGGGTGCACACTGGAAAACCTGGGGTTGCTGTTTAATTGTACCTTTTAAAAAGGAAATAATAGATAGATAGATAGATAGATAGATAGATAGATAGATAGATAGATAGATAAAGAAAGGAAGGAAGGAAGGAAGGAAGGAAGGAAGGAAGGAAGGAAGGAAGGAAGGAAGGAAGGAAGGAAAAGAAAGAGAAAGAAAGAAGGAAAGAAGGAAAGAAGGAAAGAAGGAAAGAAGGAAAGAAGGAAAGAAGGAAAGAAGGA